GCATTCCTGGGACGCTTAGAGATCCACAGTAACAAATACTGCAGGCTGGGGAAAAGAGGACAGCCAACAGGGAAAGCTGCTCTTGCCTTTGCAGGAGCTGTGATGATTTTAGCCATTATTCCATTTATTCTTACCAGTCACACACAATGGCAACATAACCACCTTGACAGCAGTAAGTTATTCTTGACACGGGGTATTTCTAATAGGAAAAGAAAAAAAAATCCTTGTAAGTTAAGACCATTTATGGGCAGAAAATTCACATTCCATTTCATGTCTTAGCTTTTAAAATTTAGCAGATGTCTTAATTTACAGCAAGTTAAGCAACATAATTACCCTTAAACTGCAGCCGAGTATATTTTTGTACCAGTGTCTGCCGTTCTATGAAGTTTTCCACACTTTCCTCTTCACAGCCATCCAAACAGAGATCAAATGTAAAGGTTTTAGTGAACAACTCTTAACAAACAAACCAACAGATGAAGGAAAAGTATACCACCTTCAAACATTCTCTCCTGCAACACTAATGGCAAAACCATCAACATTAAGCCTGCTTAGCCAGGATATCACACCCGCAGCTCAGAGATTATGAGCACAAGCCATTAGCTGCTGTTATGTTTGTTAAAAAGAAAGAAGATAGTGATGCATAGCTAATACACTTGCTGCTGTGTCTGGGTGATGCTTAACGGAAAATGTGTTCTGAAGAACAAGGCAAGACTGCCTGAGGCCATTTTCCTGATTCAAAAAAAGACTGTTCCCCCCATCCCCTTCAAAAAAACATCCCACATCCACCAACAACACAAACCTACGCCATACTCCTAATTTAGAAGATGTATTGTTTTATCTGGGAGAGAATCAGAGAAATAGCTTTGCTGCAAAAACCATACTACTTGAAATACATAACAACTGATTTGAGGCTCCTTGGGAGGGAAGTAAGAAGCTGGGAAGAGCAGAGGAACTGCAAGAAGATGCCCTAGGGTGCTTTTTCAAAAGTATCAGTTATATAATGTGAAAGACGAAACTGCAAAGGCAAAAGGCTGTTCTCAAGTATGGTTTAGAAGTAGCGATAACACCAGCACTTCTGATTAATAAAACCTTCCTACGAGAGAAGTAGTGAGCTATTCCCTTTAGGGCAGGCAAAAATACATCTCCTTGACACTCTGCTGGCAGAATTCAAATGCATCCTCAGGTCCTCCTTCCTTTTACCAGCCTTCAACTCTTTTACTAACCCAACAGCGGTCACTAGACAGAACCTCTGGTTCACCAGGTTAAGCTGAATTTGGGAGTAACCATGGGATTTGACCCTTTTTGCTACCAGCTGAGGTACAGGCATTGTCAGGGTGCTTGTTTCAGAATTTTGCAATCAATGGAGGAAAGCAAAACAAGCTGTGCGGCTTCCAAACACTCAAGTCAGCAAGTTTACTACCAGAAGCTAACTGTTTTGTCAACACCATGTGATACAACTACTGAAATATAAATCAACTGGGGGAAACAAAGTTAATTAATGGTACAAAGACAGCTGAAAACCAGGGTTACACAGCACATCTCCAGCATGTAAGGAAAAATAATAAAATCCGTTGAGGGATACAGTCTCATGGGGGGCAGCAAGAATAATGGCATGCACACACTTTTCACTCATATACTCGATTGTTTGGACAGAAGAGAAACACTTTAAGAAACATATTGTCAAAAGGATTATGTTTCAGAGCTTCTGGGAACAGATTAGACTAATCTCTTGCTACTCTGCAGAAATACTAAGTTGTAGTATTAGTTGGTCTGTATTTGGCATTGGGACCTAGGATCTGTTTAACACAGACATAAAAAAATGGCTCCAAATACTGGGTAGGATGAGTGAGCTGAATCAGAAAGGTTCTCTGTAGCTGGTATGTCTAAATGTAGTTATTGCAGTATGGAGCCATTTACACCACAGCTTTAGAGCAGAACTGACAGCTTCTATTGTAAACCATCAGCAGGGTCTTTAGAGATTTAAGAGAACAAGCCAAGAGGTACATATATACATATACATATAAAAACTCAAACTGTGATATTTATTTCTAATAACAACACAGCTCTGACTCATGATAAACATGCAGGGCAAGTGCAATGATAGGAAGTGCCCACCTACGCAGCCGAGTGCTTTATCAGAGAGACAAAGGGTTCTGTGAATTTGAAGTACGCAGCAGCTCTCCCTCACCTTTTGCTGTGAGAGGGAGGAGGAGGCTTTTTTTATTTGACCCAAGTGTTATTCACAGCTGGAAAGAAAATGTACCTTCTTTGCAAGCTCTTTCCTTTCCATGTGTGGGTAAGTTAAAAATCAGCAAAGTGAATGCAAGCCCCAGAGCGGTATCTTGTTCAAGGACAAGCCTATGAAATCAGTTAACCGAGAAACAAGAGCAATCTGTGATAAACAGATGTTCACTTGATAATCACTGAACTTATTCAGCATTTATATGACACTGTTATCAGCCTGCCAACACCTTAAAATTAACTTTTGATGTCATCTGTGAGAAGAGGTGACCCTATGAAAAATTTATGTGCTGGAGCACTGGGGTAGAGTTGTGCAATTCATGTTCTGGACTTTAAACAAGCTTCTGCTGTCAACAAGATCAGATGAGGTGAAAGCTCTGAAGCAGGAAAAATATTTATATAGCACTACAAAATCAGAGAACTATTCCCATTCTAGTGGGAAAATGAACTGGGGATCTGCAACCCATCAGCTAAAACCAGTGCTGCACTGCTCAAAAACACTCCTACATTCCCAAAACAGACATATATTCATCATCTGCCCAGCCAAATAAATCCACATTTATGTGCTCACATGATCCACCATTACTGACGATTCCATTATCGTCGTGCTTCAAGTTGTGGTTCAAGCTTCAGTGTGTTCACAGTGCTCCTCAATGGTAAAAATGAAATGCAACACAAAAGAAAAGATAAAACACTCATGTCCCCATCTGATCCTTGGTTGCCAGAGTCATTTGCAGGCAGCATGCCAGCTACAGTCTAAAAAAATGCTGACTCAAGAGATTGTTCCCTTAAATTCGGACTGTCAATGTCACACTCGGTTGTGAAGATGATCTTCGATACACCTGGATGCACAGCATGACTAAATGCTACCACCAGATGTCATCCCTGGCGTTACTAGCACTGCGATGCCAGCAGAACAAAAGTCCCCCTTCCCTTTCAGGGGGACCCCTGACAGATGTGTGTACAGACAGCTGTGTGGGCAACACAGCACAAAGGTGGCAATGCACCACTTTAAGGTTTAAATCTCTCCTTTCTCTGTCTGTAATCAGTGCCTGGTCACTGTTCCAAGGATGCACGAACTCTGGAAGTCAACCGAGTCTTCTGCATCCCTCAAGCACTGTATAAATTTAACATCATTGGAGACAGAGTTTAAAAAGCCTACAAGAGTTGGCGGTAAGCAGAATTCTGCAGATTCAAGGCAAGGAACAGGTCAGCCTTAGACTTCCACAACCACCATTAAGAGACACTAAAACATGCCAATGGGTTGAACAACTGCAAAACACTGCAGGAATAGAGTTTACTAACTGACATGTTAGAGTTCTTAACTCAGTTTGTGGGTTTTTCCTTTCTCTCACTGTTTACACACACTGGGTAAAGAAGCTAAACAGAGACTTCCTAAACAGTCAAAGGGAACCCCAACTTTCTACTGAGAGACTCCATCAGTATACAAAGTATCCTACAGAAGGGACTTTATCAGGTGTGTTAGGAGGCAACGGAAGTATTCCTTAACTACACTCAAAAGCATTCTAAGAGAGTTGAAGCTCTTTGCTTTTTTATTATTATTTTATTTTAAAATTAGTTCCTGCTTGCAGCAACAAAGGCTTTTTTTGTTTCCTCTAACTTTTGTTAGTTTATCCAGTGCTACATTCAAGACTTATTATACAGTTTAGTATTATCTTTGATAAACTCGTTTGTAAGCAATAGAGTTCAGTGCGAGATCAAGCACTGTTAATTTATGTGCAAGCTATCTTATAAAATGATAAGCCAGTCCACGCAACAAACAGCATTTTTAAAATTAGTAATAGGATTCCCCGCTTCACAGACAGTTGCTTATTAGTTCTCAATGGTCCAAAAAAGCTAGAAGGCAAAGTATTTTAAAATAAAACCATTCTTCCCCACAAAAGAAATGCCTTGCAACAGTACTGCAGACATGCATTTGACAGCTATCAAACTATGCTGTTTCAACAGAGTGCTCTTATTAGCTACTTTGAACACAAAGCTAAAACACTTTGAAACACTCAAGCTTTGAAACTCACTTTTTTCCAGAAGGCTATATGCGACCTATAAAGTAATTTGGTAGGTTTGCTTCAATCTTAATTCTTCCTTCTTCACTCAAATCTTGCTGCACGCAGACTACAAGAGGATACCAGCTACGTGGACTTGTCACCTAATTCGGTACACCTGATTTTTGCTTGGGGAAAAAACAGCAGTAGCTACTTCAAAGATTTCATGTGTTAGACTCAAGCTGAAATGAGCCATAGACAGCACGAATGTGTACAAGAGGTCTTTGGCTCGGGTGTGCTTTTAAGTGTATTTTCAAGTTCAGGTGTAGGTTAAACTGTCCATATAGACACTACCCTGAATTCCTGCTAACAGGAACTCTAGGCAAAAAAACCAGAATTTCCAGTATCAGAGCTCTGAATGCTGTGATGCAAGTGGCTGCCCTCCTGGGCTTACATACAGACAGAAAGTTGCACGTTCTTATTCTAGCGCAAAAAAAACCTTGCTGATGTTCTGCACAGAAGAAACCTTGAGTTGTCAGGTCTGTCCCTAAGAGCTTGGTCCTTCCATGGGTTGTGCTCCCAGTTCAGTAACTGGGAAGCCCCCTAACAAGATCAGGTCAGACCTACATAAACAGTAAAGAATCTCTGAGATATCTCCAGGAATGGCTCCTGACTGCTGGTAGAGGCTGCACACAACACACTTCAACAAACCAACACCACATCAAAACACAGGGGAGAAAAGACAGAACTTTTCCATTCAATCTCAGCCTGGATACAAATTCCACAGTGGTTTTGCCTCAACAGCCATGCATGGCTACAGGCTTCCCATAACTGGGAGACAGCTGTCATCTTCAGAGGGAGAAAGACTTAGAACCACATGAAGAACACACCAGACAGGATGGGTGTTGAGATGACAACTCTTAAACAACCCAACAGATTAGCAGCTGGCTTAACATGATGTACACAGAACGATTCATGTGACAAGAACGAACAAAACCAGAGATCAAGTCCTACCAGAACCACTGCTCGCATTAGATTAGCACCCAAACCACAGTAGCACCCCAAACACACGTATCGCACCACTCACGTATAGGCTGCAGGATAATGCTCTTGGGGCATTTGGTTTTCACATGGATTTTGTACATTTTCATTTTGGACACGGCAGCTTCAGAACAACCCAAAGGAACAAGCCCAGTGTTTGACTCCACAGGGCAGTGCAACTGCAGGTGGGTGATTACGAATGTTACAAAGCTTCTTTTTGCTCAGATAGAATTTCAAGTGTTTAAGTTGCAGTTTAAGCAGTTTAAAAAGGAGTGAATTTTTAGATCTTTCAAGCGTTACAGGATATTTTCTGGCTAAGAGACTAGGGCATTTATGTTTTTTGGAAAAATTAGCAAATGAAGGCTTTGTCCAGTGTGCAGAACTTATATTTGGGAAGAATAACAAACAGCTTCTTTTGGTCGCTGCTTGGCACTTTTTAGAAATGCTCACAAGACATGGGAATGGATTTCAGGGACTTTCCTCCCTTCTCAAAATCTCAGGCTTTTGTAAGTTTCTAAGTTTCACGTAACTTCCAAACCTACTGAAAGAAGGGAGGCACTCCTGACAAAATGCAATACACGTATCTGGAGGTCACAAGGAGCAGGAGGCTTACAAAAGCACTACTGTACATGGGCGTACCTGGTCAGTTTTGGTTGTCTCAGGCCCACAGATGCTACTTAGATGACAGCAGTACACTTCCTCCCCGCTCTTATACTCCCAGAGTCTCAGAGTTGAGTCCTGGACAGACAGAAGCAGACACAAGTTGATTACTTAACAGAACCTCAGGCAGAGAGGCCACTCATGGTCTACAGCTAAATTCTATTTCCCTGAAGAGCTTCCCACAGAAGCTGCTAAACAGTCACTTAGTTAAGACCTCAAATTGCAGATAAAGTATTTTAATTAACATAATTTTACCCCTCAATTCTAAATTATTCAATCATACTAACTTTAATTCTCCTTTTGAAGTGGAAATCGGGTAGCTGGAGGAGTGCATTTCAAGTCTGTCTCAAACAGCACAGCAACACACGTGCTCAGCATTTTAATAGCAATTCCTTCAGGTTGCCCTTCTCCACCCGTACTCTTGTTATCACTTGAAATCTCATTTGATTTAGTAACCTCCTGGAGAGAAACTAAACACCTCTCTGGAAAAACAGAGTCATCAAAGGGCATTTGCTAAGAATGAAATAAAGCCACACACAGCACTAATGCTAGAGTTGCTTAAAGAATGAGAGGAACAAGAGACAAAAGCCTTAGGGAAGCAAGAGCAGCTGCTGAAATCAAATGCTATAAACTACTACAAACTTCACGTCTTCATAGAAAACATTATGTGTTTTCTATGCAGTTTGATTAGTCTGGGAAACAGACTTCTTTTAGGCCAACTCCATCTACTCATTCCATACAGATCTGGCACTACAGCAGGATGCCATCAATTTAAGAAAAGGGCTGGGGGGAGGGAAAGAAGGGAACATTCACTTCTTGAGTCCTCATCCAAGCATTGTGCAGCACTGCACTGCAACCTCTACATGCCATGCACTGGATATACTATGAGGACATACAGGCAAGAACTAAACTGAGAACAAGTCTCACAGGGGAAAGCAAGTGGAAGGGTGTAGAGGAACAATTTTCTCATCTTAAAAGCTCTAAAAAAAACCCAATCTGTGATTCTAAGGCCATTCATTCTCAAGACACTCATTATCATGTCATGCTGGCATAACACCCATTTGCTTCAAAGCTGTTTAATAGTCCAATGATTAAAGTTTGTCTGTGCTCCAAAGCAAGAGTTAATGATGAAGAAATACTGAGGACTTTATGACTTCTCCATCTCAAAGAACTTAAAAAGAAGCTAGCCTTGCTATAAACACAGTAAAAGACTCCTAATGATCTAGCAATAGAATGGCAGAACATGGAACAGAAAGCTGAAAGAGGGGGGCAAAAGGAGGGAGAGAGAGGGCATGCTGGAAACCATGAGAGATTATTACAAGTATTCTAAGGAACCTGGGGGAAACAAAAGCAAACAATGGTTTTAAAGTCTAAGTTTTCAAGAAAAATACCTTTCTGAAGAAATTGCAATACATACCCCAGAAGCTGACAACAGCAGATCGGGATAGTTGGGTATTACCAGTATTTTGGTTACAAACCTAAACAGAAAGCAGGCAAAAGCTGAACAATCTTGCATGACACTCTGGTCTTTAAACACACACAGAAAGACAAAACACTAATTTTAAAGAGAACCTTATAATAAATAAACAGATTCTCCACATCAAGCCAATTAGGATGAAAAAATGCATCTACAGTACTTAATACAGTATATATACTACACAAACTACTGACCTGCAACTTCATAGAAAATATATTTCCCCACTTGCCCTTAAGGAATTCTACTGACTTCCCCCCTGACAGAGAATATTGCCACTTAGACCAAAAAATGCCAATGGAGACAGATTTGCTCGGGAAGTATGTTTCCCCTTCACAATTCTTGATGCACATTAAAACCAAGCAGCAACGCGTGCTTTTAAAACACAACAGTGATGACTCAGCGTTCACAGTACCACATCTCTCCCATCACAGTTGGAGATCATCCAAAAGCAATCTTTACAAAAATTTTAAAACAAGCATGTGGCAATTTACCACCAGCATCTCCATTCAGCCAGAAACCTTGTTTTTCAGAAGTATGTTATACTGGTATGTCTACCATGACTTGTCTTTGCTGGGTAATGAGGACCTGAACTTTTGAAGTTTGTTATTACCTTAGAGCTCAGAAACTTAGAATGTAGTGACCAGAGCAGAATGTTACCTCAGTGGGACAGTCTTTGAAAATGGGCATAAATTTAAGACCATTAAGAAAAAAAGAAAGGGCTAAAAAATAGAGGGAAGAGATCTGGTCACTGTAACACAAAGTTTCATGACAAAGCAGTAATGGCAGGTGCATGCAGGCATAATAGATCCAGCAAGAATCACCATGCACCCCATTGAAAGAAGAAAATCCAGGAGCATGAAACAATACAGTGATAGCTGCTTTATGTAGTCATTTGCTTATTCATTCCTTATTTAAATAATGAATTTTTAAATATATTTCCATTTACACTAAGTGCCTTTCCACTCTGCAGCCACTAATTAACTCTTTGTGTAGACACAATAGCCCCTGCTTAAAAGTGTCTTTCTGACAATTAATTTCTATTCATTAGAAGGTACAACTGTGTGCACAGTAGGTGGAAACATCAGATGTGGCTCTACAAATACGCTATAGAAACCAACCTGATCAAAGACTACTTAGATCTTTAACATGGGTAGTCTCTTGCTTTTATACTATGCCAACTCTACACGGGTTAGACTACCAAATTATGTTATTAAAATCAGATCAACACTCCAAATTAATCTGTGTCCTAAATGCTCTATTAAAACACCTTGGTGGGTAAGTTCAGACAGGTTGCGACTCATATCTCAAGCTCCCCAGCCACACTGCCTTTTTTTAACTCATTTCTGATATAGTGAGTTGACTGCACCATGTGGCATCATCTTATGGAAGAAGATGCCTGGAAGAGTGTTATCCCCAAGTAACTCAGCAGCCAGACAAGCAGAATTACGTGTGTTCTCTGACCTGTGTGGGATCACATCTTCTCTGCTACCTTGACTCTGTGGACTTGAAAATGTAGCAGTGGCCCCACAAAAAAAAACAACCAACCTTGCACAACCTCTCTACCTTACTCAAAACCCTAACTGACAACAACAAAAGCCCCCCAAAAAACAAGAGGTGGAAGGGAAAGTCAAGAGATTTTGAAAACACCACAACTGACAGACATTTTAAGCAGCAAAATGTAGAAGGGAAAAGTATTTCAAAAGTCTTTTTGCCATGAGTCTTCTTCATGGGAGAAGGACTGCTGAGAAGGAAAGGGAAAGTACAGTCCATTCTGTAGAGTGTAAAGGAAGTCTTGATAAACTGGCTAGAGGATGACCTCTATTCCTACACCAAATGAACTACCGGTCTCCTAGCAAGCTTGAGCACATCTGAACCACATCAGTAGAGCCAGCAGGTTGCTTTGCTGCCTTCCACTCTTCAGATCAGTGTAATGAGAATGACTTTCACTTCAGGAGAAATGAAAGGAAGGTAAAGGAAAGTTCTCTCCTGTTTTTATGCAGACTGAACCCTGCATCTTACTAGACTTACTAGACACAGCAGCACATCATCTTTCTACAGAGATATCCCCTAAGATCCACTTTCCACAGACCCCTCTACTTGTCTTAAGTGTTCTTGCCCATAGCAACAGAACCAGTCTCAATAAAAACACCAAGTTCCTTTTCTCAGCTACTAGAAGGGCCAGGTAACTACATTAAGAAGCGCAATTCCTTGAATCTATTTTATGGGACCATTTCACAGCCTCTAGCTCACTGCAGTATCATGTCCAGGCAGAAAGAGTTCTCTCTCCTTCCCATTGAAACAGACAGATTTTTTTGTATTACCACAGAACCTCCAAGTCGGAGCTCTGCATTGAGATGCCATTAGATGAGCGTCTGTTCAAACCACAAGGACTTCCTAAGACTTCCCTTCATAAGGCTAAGGTAGGCTCCATCCTGAACTAACAATCTCCAGACTCTGGAGTCTCTTGTGGCCAGCAGGCTGAGGAAGGAGATTTTGCCCCTCTCCTCCACTCATGAGACTCCACCTGGGGCACTGCATACAGCTCTGGGGTCCCCAGTACAAGAAAGACATAGACCTGTTGGAATGGGTCCTGAGAAAGGCCACAAAAATGATCAGAGGGCTGGAGCACCTCTCCTATCAGGAAGGGCTGAGAGAGTTGGGGTTGTTCAGCCTGGAGAAAAGAAGGCTCCAGGGAGACCTTACTGTGGCCTTTCAGTACTTAAAGGGTGCTTACAAGAAAGATGAGGGCCAACTTTTTACTAAGGCCTGTAGTGATAGGACAAGGGGTAATGGTTTTAAACTAAAAGAAAGTAGACTGAGACTAGACATAAAGAAGACATTTTTCACAATGAGGGTGGTGAAACACTGGAACAGGTTGCCCAGAGAGGTGGTTGATGCCCCATCCCGGGAAACATTCAAGGTCAGGCTTGATGGGGCTCTGAGCGACCTGATCTAGTTGAAGATGTCCCTGCTCACTGCAGGGGCATTGGACTGGATGAGCTTTAAAGATCCCTTCCAACTCAACATGACCTAGCTGTTGTTTGATATAATTTGAGACAAGCATTTCATCCATTGAGGCGCACTGAAGAGCTGCACACAGGAACTTTTGCACGCAACAAACTTACTCTCTGTGTCCCAGGCAGTAGGATACAATACTATAAGGAGCCTTTGCCAAGCTGACTCTGATCTTCTCATCTCTGTCTGCAGTTACAATGTACCGGTCATTAGGACTCAGTGCCTGTTGGTAAAGGAGAGTTTTAGTGCACAGTAGTTCAAGGTTTGTTTTCATATAATTCTTCCTAATCAGAATTAAAAAAGACAAGCAGCAAACTGTCTATTTCTCCTGACTCTGAATGGCAGATGCAAACATTTACTCATGCTTTTCCACCAACAATGCAAGCGTTATTCTTTATAAGAGTAACTTTCTTGCTCACTAAGACAAGTAACACTGACTACTAGGTCCAGTGAAACCTACTGAGCTTCAATAGTACGGGAGGAAGTCCAACTGCATCTTAAAAATAAAGAAACTTAGCACCCTGGAGAGCTCAACTGATACGACAGACTGGGTAAATTCCCATATACATTCCATCACCAAGTCTTCTGTGACTGCAATATTAAGACTTTTTGAACACTCACACTCCCAGAATAAATAACCCTTTGGTAAGCTTGTTTTCTCACCAAACTCTGCAGACAACTCAGCAGGACGAAATCCAGACCACGTACTATGTTTATATAAAAAAGAACTCCCAAATCTGAGCCAAAGGCAACAGTGAAAGACCCAAACACAAGCAGGAACGCAGGTTTGTACACTAACTACATGGAGGCACATACTTACCACATCCAATACCAGAGACAAGTGACCCAGCTCAAGTTTTCCATCTGCCTGGGGTTCTGTTATTGAGTAAGAATAGACATCACCAGACTTGTCTGCAATCAGAATCTTATCCTCTGCAGCCGAAATAACCAGGGAAGTGCATCTCCTGGTCACGGACCTGAAAGAAAAATGGCACAGCTTGAACAGCTCTGGATGGCAGCTTCAGCAAGTCTGGATTCAGACCCAATTAAACAGACCAAGAGACTGGACAAAAAGCTCTTGGATGCAACATTCCTGAAATGGCAGCAACGAGAATAATGTTAATGGAGGGTATGGGGCTGAAATAGCACTTCTGAGACCTATTAAATGACTAAACCATGTAATAGCAAATGCCTAGGGGAGGAAAAAAAAAAGGAGAGACCATTAAAGCTGCATGTCTGCATTTTGCTTAGGTACTTTCTCCAACCGAGCATTTTGCCTGGGCAGCCTGACAGTACTCAAAAGAAAACCGGTAAACTTTCTTGCACTGTCCATAATAAGAATATGGAGAAAATAAATCTCTTTTCACACAGAAAAAGGACAAAGTAGGAGTTCTTCTAGTAAAAGTCCTTTGCAGTAACACATCTCAAAACGGTGTTGAAACTACTTCTCCAGTTGCCACTTCATACTGTAAAAGGAACCCCCTCCTTGTACGCCTCAAGGACTCTTCCTCCTCGCATCCAGAGTCAGAGAGCCACAATCTCAGCGTACCTTGTCCAGGCATAGCCCTGAACCTGAACTCTGACTTTCCCTCATCATCTGCCAGTGTCTTATAAAGTTGCCAGTGTAGCAGGTAACTGTTTTCTTACAGCTTTTCAGACAAAAGTGAGGACAATATATGTCAGAAAACAAGCTTTATAAAAAGGCTTAATCACCTAGTTTGGAGAATGCTTCTGCAACTTAACAGCTATTGTTACTACTGTTACTCTTTTCATAACACCTCTTCTCCAAACCCTGCTATGTCCTGTGTGTTAACACAGGACTGTGCACACCAGAGATCACAGGGAATGGACATTTCTATTCACTGACTCTGAAGTCTGGTGACCGCCTGGAGGCCAAAGAACAACATACTGTACTTCATTCAGGTAGGAAGATGGGAATTCTAATAATTTTTAGTGACGGTTTAAAGGAACACCATAACAAAGGGAAAATGTATAGGACAAGAATGCCTACTAACACACTGCAGGCTCAGGCAACACAGCTTCAAAACAGGTTACTTTGCCAACAAGAAAAAGTCTTGCTCCGAGGTCATGGTACTGCCTTTGATCTTAAACACCAAGATTCTGACTACAAAAGCTAGCACTGTGTGAAACCTTTTTATACAGCTTGACACAAAACAACTAAGTTACAAGTTACATAGCTCAACTTTGGCATTCTTTTTTTCATGCAGAGACCCTTTTGCCTGTATTCCAAATTTCCTAAAGGAGGTAGTGGCATTCCCAAAAAGTCCAGCTGGGGTCCTAGTTGATCTTTTAGCAGAAAACTGGAGCATCAAACAATTATCCAACAGCATATTACAGGCAAGACATACAGGGCAGGACAGCAAGGAAGACCAAACACAGGATGAACAGAATTTGCCATTTCTGGGTCTTTTGGTGATTCACTCACGACAACATTGGTTAACCCACCAAAGGTCCATCACGTGCCCCACATGCACAGCCAAGCTGACAGAGACTCTATTTAGTTTTGTAACCAGGGCCTCATATTTGTCAGAGCCCACCAGACGAAGAGATGTCACATGCCGAGGTACTTCCTCAGGAAGTCCTTCAAGGTCCCTTTTTTTAATAGACAATTGTCACAAGGATCAGCAGAAAACTTGTAACTGGAGGACCTCTGGTGGACAGCTACAGACTGTTATCTCAAGAGGACCGTACTACCAAAGGGAAACAGTTGGCAGCATCTCTAGAGATACGCTTTTAGGAGACTTCACAAGCTCCCCAGAACACACTCTCCTCCAAATCAACAGAATCAGACTATGCACTCACTAAACTGCTCAGTATCACAATTACAGGCCCAAATTTAGCATTCACTAGGAGTGGGTAAAGTTTCAGTTCTTAAAGATGCAAATACTGTCTTTTGGAATAAGAAAAGAGATTGTCCTTTCCTTGGCCAATGATAAAATCATCTGCATTCCCATTCCTGTTGCAGGGCGTACTACACATCACTTGACAAATACCTTTGAATTCCTACGAACACCAAATTTGTCCGAACAAGTACAAGAAAAAAAAAAAGAAAGCTTAGCAGTAACAAATGGCAGCATCTCAAGAACTACTATTTTATAACTCTAAATCAATCAGCCATAACTCCATAATAAAGTGACATGCAACACCCTGCTTCCTTACCTGATGCTAACACATTCCCAGGAAGGCTTCGTACGGAACAGAATCAGACGTTTGCTGTCATCTGTCAAGGCAAAATAATCTCCTGATGGGGAGAAGCCAAAAGCTAGGATGTCATCACTTCCTTTATCTGTCGGTTTTCCATCCTGTCTAACAGGGAAGGGGAACAGCAGTTCACAACCTGAGATTTACTGAAATCCTTAAGAAAAGAAGGTCGTTCTCACACCACCAACAAGGAGTATGAAGAACAACAATGCTAAAAGCTGCACTTATGCTTAAAATGTTGAGTCAATTGAACATTAATGCCAAGAAAAAGGAAACTGATATAAGGCCTAAACCTGCATTATCTACTTAAAAAAAATCTCACTAGGGTTTTTGCTAGCAGACCCTGATACAGATTTAGGGGAAAACAGTAAAATTTGCTACAGGTAAAACAGTGTCCAGTGGTTGAATTTAAACTAAGAAAAATACTTTTTTGGGTTTTGAAATCTCACGACTTAAAGAACAGAGCTGAAGGAAGAGTAACTGATCTGTGGCGTTTTTTAACTGTCTTAGCTAATGTAATAAAAATGTTTATCAGTAAATGTCTTGACCAACAAGATACAGAATCATCAATTACAATATACCGGTGTTTCTCTAAAAAAGGTGTATAATTTCCCCTCTCAGATGAAACAAACCCAAAAAACTCCAAAAACATACCTATACATTCCTCAGGGTTAGCAAAAACAACCTAGTCATCACCTGATCAATGAGTCATCCCATGACTTTCTTTTACTGTCTTCACTGCCATGTAACCTCAGGAGGAGATGCACCCTCTAGGAAAACAGCAGACTGCACAAGCAGATTTCCTCACCCTTTATCTCCTGAGGTCGTCTTCTCCGCATTGACGCAATTGTACACAAAGAGACTGTCATCACTGCAAAAAAAAATACCAGCAGACTAGAAACACTGGAACTAAAATAACCAGAAATTGAACTATGAAGAGCATTAACTCTTTTGTAATGTGATGTTATTTTGTGGTTATTTGCGCAACCGGTCCCTATCTTGAGAAACCACCCCTGTGAAATGGCCTTCCAAAGTGCTGTGGATGCGGTAGAAGTTTAAAGCATATACATATGCCAAAAAAACCACCCAAAACTATCACCTGCTGGCAAAGGAACCGTGACATTTTACTTCTGCCAGGCCTGACACAGTCGCCACTAACATTTACCCTGTATTTCACATACCAGTAACGTGCATAATCGTGCCAGAATACTGCTAAAACTAAAAAACTTTAAAGTGAGACCCGGCAACGGAAAGCGCACACAAGGCGCGCCCAGAGGCCTGCACTCAGTCCCGCAGGACTCTTCACCCAAAGGCAGGCGCAGGCCGAGCCTCCTCCGCGTTCCCGCCACCTTCCCCCGGCTACCCGCTGCGCAGCCCCGGCA